AGCTGAGGTCAGAAACTTAACCAACTGAGCCACCCAGGTGCCCCATTCCTCCTCTTATTAAAGCACAGAAACCAACTGACTCCACCAGTCATCTTGGTAAATGAGGAACCGTTAGGTCAAAGTCATATGTTAACAATGGGAGGGCAGAGAGCCTCACGGGGCGCAGGACAGCCTACCTCAGGCATAATTTAGGGGAAATAAGTAGAATCTTTTTCTTAAACACTTGAGTTTTCCACTAACTATAAACAAATCCAATCCTAACTGACAGAGAGGCAGGATAACACATTCACTTACTTATTGGAGGTCTTCTTCCTGTATTTTACCTCTTGTATTCCAGAAAGATACTGAGTTCCATTTGTATTACCATCTCCTGGGCTATTTAAATCCCCGGGCCAAAAAACTGAAGCTGGAAAGAGCATACTTGCCTTCCTGGTTTTGCACCCACAAAGCCAAAACTCCTTCCAGAAACTGTGTCCCATTCCCAGAAGGCAGTGAGAGGAGGGAGTAAGCAGTGAGGCAGAGGAACGAGACTCCTCAATGGGCAGGGGATGGAGGTCTGTCAGTGGCTTTCCGCGGCCTGGCAGTGCCGGGGGGCCTGGGCAGGGCCCCAGAGGAGGACAGACAGTGGTGCCCAGCCTTGACAGAGCAGCCCAGGCCCCACGCTGGCAAGTCGGGCAGTAAGATCATGGGTACCAAGGAGTCTGTGAAACAGACAATGGGGGATCCCTGGCCACGTGAGAGGCAAAAGGTCTCCCTGTGCAGATCCCACATGAGCCCCAGCTTCTGGTTTTTGCCCTGGAATGGAGACCCGAGGGATAGGATCAAATGCTTGGCCCGCCAGGCTGGCTGGGTGTCTGGAGTCAGATTTGCTGTAGTTTAAAGAAACAGACATTTCTTGCATAATGGAGATTCATACTCGCTGTACGATCTTTTATGAAATCTACATTATAAATATCAAATCGCTTGTAATGAGCCATACATGCGGCCACGGGGAATCTCAAGATCGTAACTGAACACCACTAACTGAAGGAACGGCAATCCCAAAGCCAAACGCCCATGCACCGCAATTCATTGCTGTGCGAGGCTGGCTCTTGCCTTTTCGTCCCCAAGGAGCCACCTTGCACAGATGCACTCTGTTCTATGCCGGAAGAGGCAGGCACTTCTGCAACTGTCCCAGCTCATGTCCACTAACCATCTTTATAAAACCCATTTTGTCTGAAGGTTTTCAAGCTCCCCCACCGTGAGAAACTAACAGGTTTCAAACGAAAGGCTCTCTTGAATCATGTGCAATTAAGGGAGCTCATTTTAACTGTATGTTAGTTGTCTGAGGACAGGAGTGTCTGAGAAATGGTGAGTGAGTCTGATCTCAGCCAGCAGGACAGACCCTGATAACAAGTCAGGGACAAGCGCTCAGTGGGAGTTGTTGGCAAAATAAGGTTTAAAGCTTTTGAGAAGTAAATAATGAGCAAAATATCTGGGCTGTCACTCAGGGAGGCTGTCTCTTCTCCCGGTCTCCTGTTACTTTTTAAACTTTGTCTTGGGTGAACAAAGGCCATCTGCCCTCTCCCTGGTCCCTGCGGGGTACAGATATTTCTTTTTTTTTACTAATCTTTCACATTGGAGGTGATGCTCGCATGCGCACTGGACCCAAGCCAGCGTCCGGCAGCTTTGGATGACCCACAGCTATGGGCAATGTGGTCCATTAAACCACAGCGGTCTCTGAGAAGAACGAGCTTATTGGTAGCAGAACCACAGAGTGATGGGGCTGTAATTTGGAAAGACAGACCAACTCCTAACTGCTGAAAGCATTGTGGAGGTGACTAGACCTTAAAAGACAAACAACTAAAACAGTTACAGGCAATTACTAAAAATTATATTCGGAAACAATGAAGAGATTTTGAAGTGTCTTTTCGATGTTTTGATTCCTACGTGTAAAAATTAAGGTGACAACAACATATTGGGTCTGGTGGGACATTTTACTGACCTCTAAAATTTGAGCAGTTTGCAACTTCCGTGGGGCCACATTCTGGCCAAATAAAACATTCATTCGAGCTCTTTTTGGCATGTATTGTAAACAAGTATTGATTTTACAGGCACAAAAACACAAATGTTAAGATTTGCTCTAGCTCCAAATTTTATAAAAGGCTTTGCTAGGATTACATTTCCTAGCTCTCATAGGAGATGAAGCAGGGCCCTTGTGAGTCCGTCTTTCCTGGTATGACAACTCATTTATCTGGAATTACTTGGGGATGTTGTTTGTAAATATGACGTTATCTGAATGTTAGATCTTACATTATTTGATTGCTGAAATTTCTGCAGCTGAGTTACTTTGTATGGATTATTTTAATTCTAAATAGAAGGCCTTAAATATAATTTTACCATTTCTTTTTTTTTTTAATGTTTTATTTATTTCTAGGAGAGAGAGAGAGAGAGACAGCATGAGCAGGGGAGGGTCAGAGAGAGAGGGAGTCACAGACTCTGAAACAGGCTCCAGGCTCTGAGCTGGCAGTCAGCACAGAGCACGACGCAGGGCTCAAACCCACGAACCGTGAGATCATGACTTAAGCGAAAGTCGGACGCTTAACCGACTAAGCCACCCAGGCGCCTCATAATTTTACCATTTCTTGATGATTCAAGGCCATCATTATTGCAACCGGTGGTGGTGCTGTGATCTGATACACAGCTGCTCTTTGGGACCACTGATGTCTGCTGGCCTGTGTGCCTTGGGACCAGGGACACCAAGCTGGTCAGAGCAGGCTGCTGGGCCCCCCTCTCCTGGTGCATATTTCTAGGTGAGAAGAAGTATTCAGAGGCCCCATGGGCTCAGGGTCCCTACCAAGCCCCATCCAAAGGGAAGTGAACATTCCTTCCAACTCAGGCTTTACTCATGACTCCTTCAGCCCATCAACTATTTCACATGTTAGGGGACCAAAGTGCAAGCTCATGAATCTACAGTCAATAAATATTTATTGAGAATAAGACATGCATATCTTATGGCCCCTGGTTCAGAGCACAGTGAAGCTTCTCTATAAGTGTTGACTAAGTGTGTGTGTGTGTGTGTGTGTGTGTGTGTGTGTGTGTGTGTGTTTGACGGGGAGAGAGAGAGAGAGAGAGAGAGAGATGCATACTAGCAATGTTCAATAAAACAGTGTCAAACTTAATGACGGTGGCATAAAAGATCTTAGGGATGAATATAATTTTTAAGAAGAATATTTATACATTATCTCAGTGTTTAAATGAAACATGAAATTTGCATGTGTGTGTCCCTTCACACAAATCAAAGATCCCAACTTTATTTTTGTTTCTAACTCCAAAAGAAAAAATATGAAGAAAAAATGTCAGGTAGCCTCAAAAATAGGTATCTTCATGTCTTACAAAGAGGCACAGCGCAGTTAGTAAACCTCAGAAATTATATGCATCTCTTTCTAACCTCCAGATAGGTTGAGAAATCCAGAAGTATTAGTCTAGGGTTAAAATTTCTGTATTTCTGCTGGTGCTTACAACCTTGGATCATTCTTATATTTAAAAGTAAATATACCTCAAATACACCTGGATTAAAGTGTCTTTTTCTGTCCTTTTGACAAAGGACACTCTAGTCAGTTTCTTAAAGATACTTATTAAGCTACCTCTTAACAACACAGCAGTCAGCTTTGACCAAGTTCCAGTAACTGGACTAGAATTTGTTTTGTACCTCTGTGTGATGTGGTCTTTGTTGGAAGATCAAAATGAGTTAGACATGGCTGGAGTGCTCACGGAGCTGAAAGTACAGAGAGGGGAAGGTGGATGCATTCACGAGTAACTATGACAAATGTGGTGCGTGCAATGACAAACACATGCTCAAGGCTCAGTGATGGAAGAGCAAATGGTGATCTTGACTTTGGGAAGTTCTGTGTTTGTTCTCAGGGTTAGTCCTTTCTATGTGAGCACAAGCCCAGCAAGGTCCATCCACCTCAGTCGTCTGTGGTCAAGAGACCCTTAAATGTCAGGGGAAGGCACAGTTGAACACCCAAGAACCAGGTACTCAGTTATTCCTGCCATAAAGATTTTCCACTCTTCCTTCCTTTCTTTCTGTAGTACTGTGAGAGAACAGAAAGTATATATATTGGTCTGTGCCCGTTTCTTGGCACACAGCTCCTAAAAAATCCTTATAATTTCCTAAGTGACATGAACCCTAGATGCATCTCTTGTTCTGATATTGGTCTTTGACCCCATCCCGATTCCTAAAACCCTTGTAAATGCCTAAGTGACAAGAGCACTAGGGACATCTTTTGTTCCAAGGAGGCAACTCTGGGTGGGCTCCTGGATGGGGGCTGGTCTCCAGAATGACCAAGATGCTGGAATATCAGATGCTGGAAGTTCAGACTATATTGGGAAGACAGCCTACATCTGATCCAAGGCCGCTTTTAAATTAGCTTTACAGGGGCGCCTGGGTCGCTCAGTCAGTTAAGCGTCTGACTCTGGATTGCAGCTCAGGTCATGATGTCACCATTTGTGAAGACTGAGCCCCGTGAGGGGCTCTGTGTGGATATCAACGAATCTGCTTGGGATTCTCTCTCTCTCTGTGCCCCTCCCGCACTTCTGCTCTTTCAAAATAGATAAACTTGAAAAATGAGTTTGCAAAGTGATATACCAAAAGTGCAATGCTTTGTGATTTTTAGACACTAAGGAATAGAAACAAACATACTAAGAACTGAATGTTTTGAGAGTCAGATTGTCATTTTGTCTCAGTCAGCAGCAGCTTTCTAGAATGCAGTTACCTCTTACTGGTTGCTCTGCATGGTATACATCTATCAACCTTGGAATATTCCAGCCATTGACTGCCCAGGATTCGAACAAACCGCCACCAGTAAGTCTTACGATCTTTGCTCTCTTCAAATACAAGAAACCTCAAGAGTCATTAGGATGCTTTGAGCACCTGAAGTAAGGCAGGATGGTAATTTCCCATCGAGGCCGAATGCTCTGAATACTCTGACTCTATGGCAAAAGCTTATTCTACAAACCTGAGCAGAAGGTGGAGGCGAAGTTCTGGAGGGCGGTGTCCACCTCTTCCACGCTGGGCAGGGCCAGCAGGCGGGGCAGGAGGCTTTCCAGGGACTGCAGGAACAGCCTGGCGCTGTGCTGGTCGGCCTCCTGGTTCTTCAACAGTTTCAGGGACAGAGCAGCAGTCCGCAGGGACCTGTGGCCCAGGCAGTCCCGAGGGGTCTGCTCTTCGTCGGCCAGGGAGCCGTTGTCTGACCCGATGTCCGACACATCGGACCGGCCCGAGTCCTTCTCTGCCGCCATCGAGTACTGATCACAGGAGTCGAACTCGGTCCGCGAAAGGTCCTGGTCATCTACACTGAAATTGCTCTCGCTGTACCGGGAGCCGTAGGACCTCATTCTGCAGTCCACCGACAGGAAGTTTGTTATGTCGGGGTAGGCAACTGTGTGGCTCCTCTGGACCACGTCCGGCTGGTCGACCGCTTCGGGCTCCGACACTTTGCTCAGGGTCTCCTTGCTCTCCGGCTGGGCCGGAGACTTGAGGCTGTGCTTGTGGTTGTCGGAGCGGTCCTCGGGCGTGGTCTGGCCCAGCTCGCCCTCCAGAGTGGTCTGGCCCGTGTCTGTGGTCACACTGATGCTGATGTCGGGGCTCCTCTCATTCCCCGCCTCCCATGGCGTGTGCTCCGAGGACAGGATGCGCCGCTGCCAGCGGAAGTCGGCCTCGTTGATCTCCATGGAGTCCCGGCTCCACTCTGCCCCGTCCTTGAGCTCCTCCAAGCGCAGCAACAGGAGCTGTACTTGGCCTTCGCTCAAGCCCTTGCCCTGGCTCAGCTCGTCCAAGGCCCCGAGCAAGGTGCAGACACAGGACACGGCGGCATAGCAAGCCTCGATGCCACCCTTGATGCATGCTTCGGTCATGCCATCCATGATGCTAAGGGTTCAAGGGAGAAAACAACATCAGCATGGGAAACGTGGAAGAATGCTCCAGAATGAACAAGGCGTGAGTCTGGCAAACAGGACACAGTATTCAAAACAGATCCTCTGCTCTACATGATATGAAATGGTCTGGGCAAAAAGTAAAATGAAACCAATATGCTCAGGCTGGCAGAGGACACCCTCCAGGTAAAGTGGCCCACCTTGAATCACATGCCCTCTTGGTTGGCTGGTTTATCTGGAGACACACAAAACTCCCAGGCAGGAGTTTGTAATCTCTACAAGGACAGACACTGTATAATCTCACTTTTGGATTATGTTCATTTTTTTCAAAAAGCACGCAGTTGTAATGGCTATATGATAATGAGGACACCCTCTATCAAACAAACATATTCCTGAACAGATGCAGGTGACTACAACTACTGCAAATCAGATGATGTTCCATTTTCTAGGGGAGCTACAAGTAGAGGAATCTTACAGCTATAGCACTGGAATTCAAAACGTTTTCCCCCAACATAACCCTATGAATAATTTTTGTACATTTCATTTTGTACACTGCATTTAGCTCAGCATGACAATATGGAAAGTTACGGGATTATACTAAATTGAGATAAGACTTCTCATATGGCTTGTGGGAACATTATTAAACAATAACACTCCATGTAAGGCAGACTCGTAAACATTTCAGGGACTTAAAAAACAAGGTCAAGTGTATTCAGAGAAGCATCGCTCGCCAAGCAATAGTAGATGGAAAAGGGGAATGTATCATACAGTTTGAGAAGATCCAGATGGGACTTTCTTTTTGAAATTGATCTTTTTCTGGATTCTTGTTCAGTAGAGCTGGGTCCTGCCAAATCACAGAGGCGCTGTGGGCTCCCAAGTAGCTTTAAGAAAAAAAAAAATAACAGTAAAGTGAGTATGATAAAAAAGTACAAGGTTTTAAAACTGTGAGTTCAAAGAAACATATACTTTCTTTATTGATTGATACACTCTAAAAAAAAAAACCGTCAACTATTTGGAACTAGAAATCTTAAAACTGATCTAAGTATTCATCTTGTCACAGAGTATGCATAGGGTTCCCAGGTCCTCAGTTCAGGACTGGCTTAGACAAATTTTCGAAGGGGTTGTTTCAAAACCTTTTAGAGCACAGAACAATAAAGCACTTTCTTCTATGTTCTTTAGTGAGAATGGCCTCTAATGTAACTTCCCTCTACTCTTTGTCTCACTTGGCTATCAGAGTTAGCTAGCTGCAAAAACTGGATTGATTAAGTGTACATGGAACATTCTCCAGGATAGATCATATGTGAGGGCACAACACAAGTCTTAAGTTTAAGAGAACTGAAATCATATCAGGAGTCTTTTCTGACCCCATTGGCATGAAGCTAGAAATTACATGAAGAAAACTGGAAAATTCACAAATATGTGAATTACAAACAACATGCTACCAAACAACTAATGGGTCAAAAAAGAAATCGAAAGAGAAATTAAAAAATACCTTGAGACAAACCAAAATGGGAATACAACATCCCCAAATTTATGGGATGCAGAAAAAGCAGTTTCAAGAGAAAAATTTGAAGCAGTAAATGCCTACTTCAAAAAATAAGTAAAGTCTCAAACAATAATGTAACATTATTCTTTACGGAACTAGAAAAAGAACAGGTGAAGCCTAAAGTTAGTAGAAAGAAGTAAATAAGAAAGGTTACAGCAGGGATAAATGAAACAGAGACTAAAAAATGATAGAGAAGATCGATGAAACTAAAAGTTGGTTCTTTGGAAAGATAAAATTGACACACTTTTACTAGACTCACCAGGAAAAAAAAACTGGAAGATTTAAATAAAATCAGAAATGAAAGAGGAGATCTTACAACTGATACCACAGAAATACAAAAGATCCCGAGACTCCTATAAACAATTATATGTCAACAAATTGGACCACCTACAAGACAAGAACTACATTTCTAGAAATACACAACCTACCAAGAATGAATCATAAAGAAATAGAATATCTGAATAGACCAATTACTGGTAAGGAGATTGAATCAGTAATCAAAAACCTTCCAACTAACAAAAGTCCAAGACCAGATGACTTAACCAGTGAATTCTACCAAACATTCAAAAAATATCAATCCTTCTCAAACTCTTCCAAAAAACAGAAAAGAAGGAGACTCTCTTTTAAAAAAAAATTTTTTTTTCTTAGTGTTTATGTATTTCTGAAGAGCATGCACAGGAGAGGAACAGGGAGAGAAGACGACACAGAATCTGAAGCCGGCTCTAAGCTCTAAGCTGTCAGCAGATAGCCCAATGCGAGGCTCAAAATCACTAGCCATGAGACCACGACCTGAGCTGAAGTCAGACACTTAACTGACTAAGCCACTCAGACACCTCAGGAGGGGGCTCTTTCAAATTCATTTTATAAGGCTATCATTACCCTCATACGAAAACTTGACAAGGACACCACAAGAAGAGGAAATTATAGGCCAATATCTCTGATGAACATAAATGCAAAAATTCTCCATAAAATGTGATCCAACTAAATTCAACAATGTATTAAAAGGGTCATACCCCATAATCAAATGGGATTTATTCTAGGGATGCAAACATGGTTCAAGTGACTGAACCACAAATTAGTCACGCAATTCACAATACTAACAAAGTGAAGGACAAAATGAAAAGATAATTTCAACTGATGCAGAAAAAGCATTTCACAGAATTGCACATCCTCTTATGATAAAAACTTGCAAAAAGGTGGGTGGAGAGGGAATGTATGTCAACATAATAAAGGCCATATATTACAAACCGCATCCTAGTCAACAGGAAGAAGCTCAAAGTTTTTCCTCTAAGATCAGGAAAAAGACACGGATGCCAATCTTACCACTTTTATTCAACATAGTATCGTCACTCCTAGCTACAGCAATCAGGCAAGAAAAAGAAATAAAAGGCACCCAAGCTGGAAAGGAAGAAGTAAAACTGTCACTATTTGCAGATGGCAGGATAGTATATATAGAAAACCCCAGAGACTCAAAAAACAGTTAGAACTAACAAATGAATTCAGTGAATTTGCAGGATACAAAATCAGCATATAAAAATCTGTTGCATTTCCATACACTAATGAGCTATCAGAAAGAGAAATCAAGAAAATAACCCTATTTACAAAGCATCGAAAATAATGAAATGCCTAGGAATAAATTTAATCAAGGAGGGGAAAGACTGGTACACTGAAAACTACAAGGCATTAATAAAATAAATTGAAGATGGCACAAATAAATGGGAAGATATTCTCTGCTCATGGATTAAAAGAACTAATATTGTTAAAATGTTCTTACTACCCAGACCAATCTACAGATTCAGGGCAATATCTACCAAATTTCCAATGGCATTTTTCACAGAAATAGAACAATCAGTCCTGAAATTTGTAGGGACCCACAGAAGACCTGAAAGAGCCAAAGCAATCTTGAGAAAGAAGAGCAAAGCAGGAGGCATCACACCCTGTGATTTCAAACTGTATTGCAAAGCTACAATAATTAAAACATTACAGAACTGGCATAAAAACAGATACACAGATGAAAAAGAATGGAATAGAATGCCTAGAAATAAGCCTATACGTATATGTCAATTAATATAAAACAAAGGAGGCAAGAATATGCAATAGTAAAAGGACAACCCCTTCAACAAGTGGTGCTTGGAAAGCTGGACAGCCGCGAGCAAAAGAATGAAAATGGACTGCTCTCTTCCACCATACACAAAAATTAACTCAAGATGGATTGAAAGCTTGGATGTAAGACTTGCGACCATAAAACTCTTAGAAGAAAACCCAGGCAGTAAGCCCCTTGACACGAGTCTTGCAGATGATTCTTAAAATCTGACACAATGTAAAAACAACAAAAGCAAAACTAATCATGTGGGACTACATCATATTAAAAAGCTTCTGCACGCAAAGGAAACCCGTGACGAGACGAAAAGGCCACATATTGAAAGTATTTGCAAGTCATGTATCTGATAAGGGGTTAATATCCAAAATACAGAAAGAACTCATATAACTCAATAAAAAGACAAAAAAAACAAACAATCCAATTTTAACACTGGGCAGAGGACCTGAGTAGCCAAGTAACCATTTCTCCAAAGAATACATACAGATGGCCAATGGACACATGAAAAGATGTTCAGCATCAATAATCATCTGGGAAATGCAAATCAAAACCTCAATAAGAGTACTTCATACTTGTTAGAATGGCTGTTATCAAAAACACAAGGGGTGTCTAGGTGGCTCAATCAGTTAAGTATCTGAGTCTTAGTTTCAGTTCAGGTCATGATCTCATGGTTCATGGGATCAAGCCCCATATCGGGCGCTGTGCCGATAGCATGGAGCCTGCTTCGGATTCTCTCTCTCCCCTTCTCTCTCTCCACCTCTCTCCCATTCATGTGTGTGTTCTCTCACTAAATAAATAAACTTTAAAAAAAAGGCTAGAAAAAAACAAGTGTTGGCAAGGAAGTGGAGAAACAAGAACCCTTGTGCGTAGTTGGTGGGAATGTAAATTGGTACGGTCACTATGATAAACAGTATGAAGGTTTATTAAAAAACTAAAATACACTGTCATATAATCCATCAATTCCACTTCTGGATATTTATCTGAAGAAAATGAAAACACAGAGTCAAAAAAGATACATGTACCTCCATGGTCATTGCATCATTATTTACAACAGCCAAAACATGCAAACAACCTAAGTATCTCTCAGTGGATAGGTGGATAAAGAAGATGTGGCAACCCCCCCCCCCCACACACACACAGGAATACTACTTAACTACAAAAAAGAATGAAATCTTGCCATTTGTGACAATGTGGAGGAAACTAGAGGGTATTATGCTAAGTGAAATAAGTCAGAGAAAGACAAATACTGTCTAATCTCTCTTGTAATCTTAAAAACAAAACAAAACAAAAAATAAACAAAAGAGCAAGCTCATAGGTACAGAAAATTGATTGTTGGTTGTGAGAGGTGAAAGGTGCAGGGATGGAAAAAAATGGCTGAAGGGGGTCAAAAGGTAAAACAACTTTTAAACAAATTAAAAAACATGTGTTGAGAGTATTCCCTTTCTATTCTTTGGAAAATTTCATGTATTATTAGAATTATCCATTCCTTAAGTGTTGGTATAACTTGTTTTTAAAGTCGTATGGGGCCAGTGTTTTGTTTTGGGTTTTTTTTATGGAAAGATTTTTAACTACTGATTCAAGTTTTGAAACATTTCAGAACTATTTAGGACCTCAATTTCTCAGCTTGTTAAAGTCTGTGTTATTTCCTTTTTTCTTCTTTTTTTATGAATATAATTTATTGTCAAATTGGCTTACATACAGCATCCAGTGTGCATCCCAACAAGTGCCCCCCTCAATGCCCATCAACCATTTTCCCTCTTCTTCATCCCCTCAACCACCCTTAGTTTGTTCTCTGTATTTAAGAGTCTCTTGTGGTTTGCCTCTCTCCCTCTCTGTTTGTATCTATTTTTCCCTCTTCCTTTCCCCCATGGTCTTCTGTTCAGTTTTTCAAGATCCACATATGAGTAAAAAAAATATATATATCTGTCTTCTCTGACTTATTGCACTCAGCATAATACCCTCCAGTTCCATCCGCGTTGCTGCAAATGGCAGGATTTCATTCTTTCTCATTGCCAAGTAGTGTTCCATTGAATATACGAACCACATCTTCATTATCCGTTCATCAGTTGATGGACATTTAGGCTCTCTCCACAATTTGGCTATTGTTGAGAGCGCTGCTGGGGTCCATGTGCCCCTGTGCCTCAGCACTCCTGTATCCTTTGCATAAATTCCTAGCAGTGCTATTGCCGGGTCATAGGGTAGCTCTATTTTTAATTTTTTGAGATACTTCCACACTG